ATTTAGCCCAACACAGTGGGCTATGGCCGATTGAAGTCTCCCGGTGTTTGTGTGGAATATATCCAAAAGGCCCGTCAAACATCGTAGATTTTTCAAGACCACGCTGTGGTGGTGTCGGGAAATGAATCCGCTGACACGCCGCGGTACGCTTGTTTTTTGAGGAACAAGTCTGAAATCGTTGTATTCTTTTAGAATACGCTAATACTTGAATACTTGACCAGCAGCTGTATGTGTCTTCGACATTCGTTATCATGCCATCGATAAAGCGCTGGCAACTTCTCCATTCGACTCGTTATTGCGCTCTGCGAGCACCGTACAGGCGTACCATGGGGTCTCTCCACCTCACTGATGCCTCCGCAGTGTTCACTTGCGCGGAAGAATACGCTGATTTTTCAAGAAAATTGCCAGTTTCTCCCATTATTACAGCTAAATTTGCTACGGTCTTGTTTGAGACCGCTTTTCGTAAAGTGCTTTGAAGAGTTAGTTGGAACGCCGGTGGTATGTAGTTCAGTGGATGATGTTTCTCGGATTAACGTAGTTCTAAATGGAAATATCCTAGCAAAATCGTGATCATTACAACGTAGTTCAGGCAATTCGGCTACTTTTTTTTTTCAGAGCACTGATGCGTTAAGTACAGCGTTGATTGGTGTTGTAAGCGACTGGACTTCGGCACCACTCTGCTTACAGAAATGTGGACAACGCAAATCGTGGCATGTCGTTGGTAAGGAATTATCTTTTTTTCTCCAATTTTTTTTCCCCCGGGAAACACGGGTGACTTGCCTTAGGAACGGAATCCATTCCAGTTGTGGAGATTTCTCATATGTTTGTGAGGTGTTGCAGGCACGTTGCTAGTCACGTTTTCGTTCCCGTTCATTTACAACAGATGTTTTTTGTGCAATAATGCAACAACGGACTGGGCATTTTTGGCTTGGTATGCGCCGTTTGTGATGGTATTTCAAATTGGATGGGCTGCAGTACAGGTGCTTATTGGCATTTGATCTTTGAAATCCCCAATTTTTGCTTTCCAATTAGTTACCACTTCACGCACAAAGTTTCTTTTTGCAGATTTCTCATTTGGCTTTGTTGCCGGAACTTACAAGTGATGACAGCCGTCGAACAACTATGAATTCTGTGAGGTTATTTTTCAAAAAAAAAGTAAAAATTTACTTCAGAACTGCAGTACCTGTAAGCACAGAAATCCTTGGGAAATTGTGAAATTGAAAGGTGGCTTCTCAGCTTTTTCTAAACGTCGAGCGCTCAAAAAGTTCAGTTGTTGATCTCTTTCAGTCGTGCTTTTTAGCATAAAAATTGTATAGCTATTTTGTATGCATTTTATGCATGTATCGTTACAGGTACGGATCGACTGTAGTTGCAAATTTGGTTAATTTTGCTGTGATTTCGTTGCTGCTGCATTTCGATGATGCTGGAAGTGCGATTGGTCCGAATGATCTTACGCATTTTACTGCAAGTTTCCTGTTTTTTCCCAAAATTGTTGTTGCCTGACGAATAGGCCTGAACA